GCATCTCTCAGCACCTTGGAGAACCTCCGTCGATCCAACGCCGCCCGGTCCACCCCTCCCCCCCAGGCCGCATATGCCTCGTACACTCGCTTCAGCGCCGCCATCAGCTGATCTGGGTCCATAGCGCGGACCTGGGGACGCACGCGTTGCGTGTGTATGTTTGTGTGTTTGCGTGCGTGTGTATGTGTATGTTTGTGTGTTTGCGTGCGTGTGTATGTTTGCGTGTGTGTGCTTGTGTGTGTGCGTGTGTTTTCGGGGGCAAGGAAGTGAAAATGGGCACATGTGGGGATTCCAGAAGAGGGCGAGTGTATAACGTTGTTTTCCCAGATGGCGTTACATTCGTACAATGTCGTACAATGTCGTACCAGGTGCATCGTGTCCGGCGACAGCACGGGCGCCAACCCCCGAGCAGTCGCCGCCTCGCGGGATCTCAACAGCTCAGAGGGCTCCTGTCGCTCCCACTTCTTCTGTCGTAGCACATCGGGCCCAATGGACGGCGGCGGCAAGCTGCCGTACACGCTGGCCTGCAGCGGCGGCGTGCCGCTGCCGCCGCCATCGGCCTGCTGTGCCGGCGTGCCGCCGCCGCTGCCGGAAGTTCCACCGGGGTTTGCCCCGGCGCGCCTGCAGCGGAAAGCACAAGAGTTGTACGCAAGCAGTACGACTCCCGGCACGCTTCCACGTGAGGCATCCAGAACCCAGCATCCGGCACTTTCAACGGTCGACAAAAGGCCCGCGTGGCGCGGTGCCGTACGGCCCAGTCCAAGGCCGCCACGCCCTTAACATGTCTTATGCATGCACACACATACATACACACATACACGTAGATGTACACATAGGCAAGCTCTGGAGGACACACACAACCTCAAGTGCGCTGCCGTTTTGCCGTATATCCAACGCTCTCTTCCAAAACATGCACCATAAAAAATCCGTCGTATCCTCAAATCCGTCGTTCAAAACAAAACACCCACCTGGATTTCAAAAACGCCGCCAAGGCCCCCCCTTCCCCCGTCCCCGGCTGCTGCTGCTGGGGGGAGAGACCCATCGACACGCTGAGAGCGTCCTGAGACTCTGTGCGTGGTACGGTTAGGAGGTGGTTGTGGACGGTTGGGGGTTGAGGGCAGGTAGTTGGTGAGGAGTCACTGACAATTTGGTGAGGAGTCACTCAGTATTGCCAGGGTGGTTGGGTAGTTGGTGGTTGTTAGTTGCGTAGCATTTGAATGGAGCCCTCGGCGACTGCTGTGAGGTGTTAGATGGCTCCTCGCCCTCCCGGGGTGCTATATGACCACTACCTTGGGACGAACAACGCCACATCAACCATGCCTGTACATCTGTCTGTCCGTCTGTCTATCTGTCTATCTGTCTCTCTCTCCATCGCACCTTGCTTCATCTTCCTTATCATATCATTATCCGCCAGCTCTCGAAGCTCCCGGCTGTTGTCGGGGAGCAGCGGGTGACGTGTCAGGAACTCCGGGACCTGACACACACATACATACATACATACATACATACATACATACATACATACATACATACATACATACATACATACATACATACATACATACATACATACATACATACATACATACATACATACATACATACATACATACATACATACATACATACATACATACACATACACACACAGAGAGGACATGTCGTACAAGCAGAGGGCGTCGAGGGAGGGAGGAGACCAAAGAGCACAAACATTGCCGCTCCGCCGCCCCGCATTAACATCCCCCTCCCCATCCGCCTCCCCAGACCCCTCCCAACCTCCCACACACACCCCTTTCCCCTCCACACACACACACCCCTTCCCCCCCCACACACACCCCTTCCCCCCCCCATACACGCCTCTCCCCCCCATACACACCTTCCCACACACACACCCCTTCCCCCCCACACACACATACACCTGCGCCCCCGCCGGCAGCTGGTCGCCACTGATGATCAGGAAGTCCGCANAGGTGGGCTCCGGCAGTGTATCGACGGAGCTTAGAACTCGGGCCACAACTTCCTGGAAGCCACTGCGCCGCTTCTCAGCTAGCTGGCGGGTGGG